GCCGAGGTGCGATAGACTCTGAGCTCTGCAGCCGATGTGCGATAAGCTCTGAGCTCTGCCCTGCGTCTCGCGTATAACTCCCCTTACACTTTCGTTTCACTTTAACAGCCGTTTTAGGAAGATTTTTTTGTTTCTTTTTATCTGCTGTTCTCATCTTTCAATGTATTATTAGTTACCTCTCGTCCATGTTTATCCTCCACAAAGTGGCGCCCCAGTCCCACCCTTTCTTCTTCTTCATTTTTATTGGAGGAGAAAAAATTCCCAAGAATGCTAGTACCATTAATATATTTTTCAATGGCTATCTGCAATTTATGGATCTTTGCAATCCAATTTCGACCTCTTTCCACCATTGTTGCTTTCGATTAAGCTCCTCTGTTCCTCTACAATCAATCCTTTTCGAATTCAATCATATGCATGTCCACAAAAGCATTTATTTATTCAACTGGATCTTTCCTTGAGTACTAATTAGATTTTTTTTCCCCAAAACTTGAACAAAGTTTCACAATTTGGTTGCTTGATTTGTAGATTTAATTACTTTTCACATTTGATTCTGTTATGAATTTACAAAGAATTGGCTAGCTAGTATCAATAAATTTGAATTCGTCAATAAAACCTAAAATTTGAAATTGGTTGACAGAACAGTTAGTGATTATAAAAATCTGCTTGTTACAACACAAAGTTACTGAAATCGAACAAAAAATCATCAACTATACTGAGTACTCTATAAATATTAATTATTGAGTTATCTGAAAAATTATAAGATCAAAGGTAAAATAATACTTTAACTGTTATTATCTCCACAATCAAGAAACAATTGACTATTTCCTTAATTCTTGTGATCTATCTTAAAAAGCCTATTAAAATAAAACAGAGGAAAGAAAGAAAGAAGGTTGCACCATGAAGGAATATGGCTAGGGTGCCAACACCTTGACCCTGTAACAGATCTAGTGTTGACAACTTCTATGCCTTTATTTATTTATTTTTTATTTTTATTTTTTGAAGAATATGCGGGAAGCTGCTATGCAGTACTCGTGGTCGTGGTTGTAACCAGCAGTGTCAACACTCCACTTCTTGTCACTAAAACAGGTGTCAACACCTGTGGAGATTAACTAAAATATTAATTAAATTAGATTGGGATTAAACGGTAAATATGAAATTTATAACATATTCTGAATCTTAGTTAATTATTATTTAATGTCAATTTTTAGGTTCTTGAATGTTTGCGTGAATGTTTGTGTGTCAACATGTTATTTGTGGAATTAATCTTATTCTTGTTATATTTGTTATTTTGCTGATGAGATTATACACTAGTAATCTTATGCCCACTAGTGGAAAGTTTAATTTACAAATGTTGGTTGTGATTCATAAAAGAAACGTCTATTTGATTACTCATACTTGTACCTATTTTTACTTTACTTTTTTTTTTTATTAGCAAAGCAAAGTGAGAAATATATTATACTTTACATTTTTTTTTTTTTATTAGCAAAGCAAAGTGAGAAATATATTATAAAGGAGTATAAGAAATACTCCCAAAGCAAATACAATCTGGTAAACTAAGGGTTCCCATTAGACTTTACCTACATCAATTAAATACAATATAGCTTGAAATATACCAGAAAACTAAAGAAAAAGAAAACATTCTATGCCTCTTTCACGCCTTGTAACATTTCAAATTTTTATGATATTGCACAATGGCTTCCCTACAATCCATAAGCCTTGAACTCTAATCTTGATAAGAGAACACATAGCCCACCTCTTTATTTTTGAGCCAACAAAAAGATTTAAACTGAATAGAGTCCAACAAACATTGCTTGTATACCAAATCTAATCCAAAAACCTTCATATTCCTCCAATACCAAATAACCCAAGCCACAATCAAGAAAATAAACACTCCCAAATCCTTCTTTCTTCCCCCTCCAACATCCTGTACTATAGCTTTTGCCAAACCAAATATATCATTAGGCAATACACTGTGTAAACCCTACTACCCCAAAACTTTCATCCACACTAACCACACCTCTTTACGCTCACAAAAAATATGATGGAGCTAATTCACATCCTCCTTACACACTCCACAACTGACATCTTCACCGTCCAAAAACACCCCTCTTTTGCATAAATTCACCTTAGTCGGCAACCTGTTCAAAAATAATCTCCATCCAAAAACAATTAATTTAGAGGGAACATACTTACAACAAATAATCTTGCACCATTTCTTATCAAAAATACAATCCTTTGGTGTTAAAAAGTCATACACAGCCTTCATAGCTTATTATACTTGTTAACATGCTTAATTAAAAATTAAAAGGAGAACTGAATATTTACTTACTAGATAAAATTATATCTCTTATTTATCCTTACCCACCATTTTAGGTATAACAATGTTAGGGATGCTAGGGATCAGGACATGTTATGGGTTTCATATTAGATTTGGTTTGGACTCAGTTGAGACTTAGATTAGTTTTTGGACTTATTTGTTAGTTTTAGATAGTTGGAGGATCTAAGCATTAATTTTATAATATGACTTAGTAATAATTAATTAAATATTATTTGACTTTTAATAGTATTTGTACTATTTTCATACTTTAATTATTAATTTTGGTCTTACATAATAAATTAAATTTATTTCAAATTTTGTGCACTTATAAGTCTTATTCACAATTACCCAATGTTTGTTTCACTTCATGGGCTGCGGTGTGACAAGTCGACATCACCATTTCAAAACGGGTGCGCCCTCCCCCAAGAACCGCCAGTCAAATCCAAGATAAAACCTAATTCTAATCCTTTGAATATTCCATGTTTATGAAAAGATGCTTTTTTTTAATGATTTTTTTTTGGGGTAAATTTTTATGATTTTTTTGATAAGCATAAAACAAGAGGAAACTAATGCATGAAACAAGGGGAAACTAGTGCAAGGAATGAAACAAATAAATGCCAAACAAAGAGAGAAAAGAAAAGATAAAAGAGAGAGAGAGAAAAATGAGAGAACAACCTCAAAAGTTAAAAATTTCTCAAGAAAGAAACTCACAACCCAAACCCTGACTCTAAGAGAGAGAGCGGCATATGGCATATGAGCATTAGATTGGTTGGCAAATTATCTTTACATTCTAAATTAATTATTTTGTATTTGTCTCCTAAACGAAAGTCTTCAATACAATCCTTTTACTTTTACAGTCTATAAAACGGATAGTCATTAGAGGATGAAAATATCTTTCAGGAGAAGTGGGTCTTTAAAAAATTAATGAAAGGGGCGATAACGTTGTAATAATCAATGCTCTGTGTGAGTCGAAACTAATTTGCGTACTATAATAAATGTTTCAACCACATTTCTCCGCTAGCTTCTTTTTTTTTTTTTTTGTGCACCATATTTCTCTGCTAGCTGGCTGTTAGAAAAAAGTTTCAACCCCATTTACATGGATCACGATCAATTAAGGCCAATAGGCCACTTCCATGATCAACTTCTTCATTTCACTCATTACCATATTATATGATGGATATGGTGATGAAAAAAAACTTCGCTTTACCTGTTTACCATATATCTTCCTCCCCACCGATCAGCTTCTTGCGGTTGGGTTTCCTTTCAATTTTGTAATATTTTTCTTCTAAGAATTTTTGGGTTTTTTTTATTATTTATTTCTTTTCAGTAATATTTTGTCTATTTTTGTTATTATACAATTTACTCCAGTTTTTAATTTATAATTACCAAAAATTAAAATCGATCTTAGCATTTGGTTAGTAAATAACCAAACAGTTGCTTATCTATAAAAAATTTAAAATTGTGACAATCTAAATCTCCTCAAATCACTTAAAATCGGCATTTTAAAACTCCAATTCTTTAAAAAGCCAAGCCCAACGTCTAATAATTATATTTAAGTCCAAGTGAAATTAAATGGACAAATGCCCAATCTAATTCTTTTTTTCTTTTCATATAAATTATATATTTTATAAATAATAAGATTCTTTGAATCATATATACTACTTTAATCAGTAGTTACGTACTCAACTCTATAATTATTATAACGTTATTATGCCCAAAGATTCGATATGCAAATACCCTATTGACTAAAATTATTAACCAAGATGCCCTCACAAAGCTGGGTGTGTTTACTTGTTTACTTATCAAAAGTGCTGTTAGTGTGTTTAGTGTGTTATGGTCAGGGTTTTAATCTGAGCTATCAACTATATATAACCTTATAGTAGAGTTATTTATGTTTTTAATTATAAAAAAAGAGAACCAATTTGTTCAAATAACTTTAAGTGTAGATATGGCCATGTTGATGCATTAAGACCACACACATATTTTAACTTTATCTTCAAAAATAATATTTTTGTCTAATTTAACTATTAACAATGTCTAATAATTAATAAATAGTTATTATTAATAATTTACTCCTGTTTCAAAATAATTATATTTTTTAATTTTTTTAAATTAAAAATTTAGAGTCAATTTGTATATTTATCTATATTATTTTTTAAAAAAAATTTAAAGGTAAAGTAAGATTTTTTCTAAGAAGATTATTAATTAAAATAAATAAATAATGATAGGGTTAAAATAGAAAAAAATATTTATTCATCTTAAAAAATAAAAAAATAATAATTAATTTAAAATAAATTTAAAATTAAATAATGATAATTATTTTGAGAAAAAAATTAATATATTAAAATTAACTTATAAATTAATATTTTTATACATCATAATCAACCATTTTATATTTTTTTTTGAACATATCAACCATTTTATATTTGACCAAATCAAACACACACATCTCCATGGACCATTGCCTATTTTTCCAAAAAAAGTAAAAAAATTCAAACACACACGTCATTAATTTAATAATTGTGTGACTTTAATACAGTAACATGAGGCGATAACCACACCAACGATAACTCTAGGTAACAACTGCGGCAACAGTTAAATTCCCAAAAACACCCTCAGTCAGTATTCTGACTATTCTCCCACTCCTCTGCTTAATTATAAAAACCCCCCCATGCCTCCCATTGATCATCACTGGCTTAGGCCTACTCTTCTCTGGTCATAGCTTCTTGATCTCACTACTTCATCATGGCCAATAACGTCGATTGTGCACAAGTTGGATTCCAAACCAAGGATTACCATCAGCCACCTCCGACACCATTGATTGACCCTGAGGAGTTCACCAAGTGGTCTTTCTACCGGTCTGTAGTCACCGAGTTTGTTGCTAGCCTCTTGCTCCTCTACATCATTGTTTCAACGATTATTGGGTACCAGAGGAACACAGAGCACTGTGAAGGTGTCGGCCTTTTGGGAATCGCTTGGGCTGTTGGTGGCACCGTCTTTGTCCTCGTTTACTGCACGGCCGGAATCTCAGGTCAATTTTCCTCTCACGAAATTTTAACAAATTTCTGTTTACTGTATGTTGGTGTGGACAGTATTTAACGGTTTTTTGGGTGAAATGCAAGTGCAGGGGGTCACATAAACCCAGCAGTGACTTTTGGGATGTTCCTGGCGAGGAAGTTGTCCCTTCCCCGAGCCATACTGTACATGGGGGCTCAGTGCTTGGGAGCCATCTGTGGATGTGCGCTCGTGATGTCACTCCAAAAGCCGTACTATAATAAGTTTGGAGGAGGAGCCAACGAGGTCACTGCAGGGTACAGCAAGCGCACCGGACTCTTCGCTGAGATAATCGGAACGTTTGTTCTTGTATACACTGTCTTCTCGGCCACCGATCCCAAAAGAAATGCCAGAGACTCCCACGTCCCTGTATGTAGTCATTAATTATCAAAATCCCCTGTTTCTTATCTCTGCCTTTTTCTACAAGTTACTGATTGTTTTAATTAATTCGTTATTCAAAGGTTTTGGCTCCACTTCCAATTGGGTTTGCTGTGGTCGTAGTCCACTTGGCCACCATCCCGATCACCGGCACCAGCCTCAACCCTGCTCGGAGTTTGGGAGCTGCCGTGATCTACAACAATGAGCACGCCTGGGCAGACCTAGTATAAATGAACTTTCCCTTGCATATTTTGATCCTAATTAATTTTCTCTTTCTGTTTTTATCTTGTCCTCATCTAAATTTGTATTGTCCACATGGTTTCAGTGGATCTTCTGGGTCGGACCCATGGTCGGAGCCGCCATTGCCGCCTTCTACTATCAGTTCGTCTTGAGAGGAACGGCTGTAAAAGCTCTTGAGTCCTTCGGGAGCGGCAGATTCATTTAAATTTCGTAGCATTTCCATTTCCTAGAGAACTTTGTACACTAGGTGTCTGTTGTACCGCGTCTTTGTATCAAGGGACTAATTTTTCTTCTTCCTATATGTATATTATCCCCTGTTTTCGATGTCTGTAATGATAAAACTTTTGAGGTTTGTTTCAATTGTTAGGGCCAAATCAACACTTAAGCCTCCAAATTCTCTCTCTCTCTTTCTCTTTTTTCTTCTTCTTCTTCTTCTTTTTTTTCTTAAATTATGAGAGATGATTTTTTTATTACTTATTTTATCTTAATTATATTCAACTTGAATTTAAAATTTTTATTTTTATTAAAATGAAATTATGATTGAATTATTTAAGTTATTAAAAAACTTCTAAACTTTTTAAAATGAGAATTCTCAAATTTTCTAACTCACTAATATAAAAAAATCCACTTACACAAAATGATTTAAGTTATTGCCCTAACTCCATGTTCCTTTTTTTTTTATTAAAGAAAGAACAAATCCTTTAAACAGGGGCAAGATTTAACCATGTAAGCGTTTTTTATTGACGGAAAAGTTACCCTCTGTTGCTTACTCAGGACATTGAGTTAACTTTAATTTAGTCCCTAAATCTTTTAAATTTAATAAAAAATTGACCTCTTAACTTCATAAAATTAAAAGGATCACCCATTATAAATCGTACTTCCAAGTTCTAATTTCGAAAAGCTTCCACTTTCCAGGAATTAAAGTAGAATTCTAAAAAGTAAAAACCAAACCCATCAAACATGACAATTATTTCCAAGTGGGGGCATCTTCATTTCACACTGTTGTAGTTGGTGCTATTTTAAAAATATATAAAATATTAATTAAAATTAATAAATAAATATAAAATATTAATTAAAAATTAAAAATTTGCAATTTTAAATAAGATGCTTTGTTAATCTACTATTTCTTTTATATAAATCCATCTTGATCTTTTGTATTCTGGTGGTAGCAATTTTTTTAGTAATTAGGAAGATAATCACTAAGAAATTTCATCTCCATCGGAATAAATATGTTGTGTCAAATTAAAAATTCAAAACTAATTACAGTATTAATTTATCTTCTTTACAAAAAAAACAGAAATTTCTATGGTGTAAAAAAAAAAGAAGAAAATTTTGTGCCAAAAAATCAGAGTAAGAAACAGGTTTGCGAGCATAATATCCACAAAATGGCACAACAACAGGATTTACGGGTAAGAGTATTTTTGAAAAGTTTTCTAATGTAAAGACGGATTTATTATATCTTTTCGGCTTTAATTTAAATAAAAAAATAAAAAATTGATATTAATTTTAATGCACCTGCCATTTGAATTTTTTTATAATTAAATTATTAATAAAATTATCGTCACTTATTTTTGTAACAATAAATAAATAAAATAAATGTAAAACAAATATTAATTAATTAATATCTATTGTCGCTCTCACAAAAGGTCTTGTATATAAAATTTAGACTTTATTCCATCGCATATCTTGTATTCTTTAAATTTGGGTATTCTACACCAGTGAAAATCCCAATTAAATCTACAAGTATAAATAATATTAAGTCACATATTTTAATGATAGAAATATGTCAATGGATAATCTGCAATTATAAATAACATAATCAGTTCAGGTCCTTTACATGGACAAAGGCGAGGCTAAGACCTGGGATACAGTATGATACCTGGTGCAATTTCCCTAAGCAGGGTTTATTATAGTGAGAGAGTTGTCCATAGACCAGGTAAATGGGAACTAATTAGCTCAACACATATGTCCAGGAGATTGATATGTTTTAAATCGGAAACACCACTCCATAAAGTATTTTACTTAATATAATGAGCAGAAGTGCTCCTTGTACTCCAATAATAAATAAAATAAATAAATAAATATATTGCCAATCACAACAACAAGAAGAAGAAGAAGAAGAAGAAGTTGATGTAATGGCAGTTCTATATTACTAAGGGGATAAGATCTGAATATGATAAAAACTTAAATGAATAAAGTTTAATACTAATATCGAGTTCATTAACTGCCAATACATAAGTTGCACTATTAAAATTAATTTTCACAGATCTAGCTACAGTTTTTGGTAGCTAGATTCAATCACGCAACCAAAATTTGTAATGACAAACAATTGTCCCTCATGCAGCAAAGGTCAAAAAATATTTGCTTGCTTACGATCAAGTGCAACATGTATAGAATCAAGAAAAAAGTTTTAGATTTTTTTTTGAAATGTATATTAGAGCAGAGGGGCAGATAAAAAAAAA